ACTTCAGCGCCCAAGAAGCCTCGTCTCCTGTCGTCGCAAACGACGACAAATTCTCATACTTCGACATCGAACACCACTCGGAGCTTCGATACGAGCTCGAGTCACCAAGGTGGTTAAGAACTACACTTTTCTCTTGTTATTATCGAAATTGAGCTTAGATTTTATGTCTTGTTTCCTTAAAGATGCCAGCTTTAAGGAGAGCTTGCCAGGGCACGTGCGAGCTCCGGCGGTGTTCAAGTGTGTACGTGTGACGTCGGTGGAGGACGATGGAGAGGATGAGTATGCGTACCAAGCAATGGTGAAGATTGGGGGCCATGTTTTTAAAGGGTTTCTTTATGATCAAGGATCCGATGAAGGAGCTGGAGTTGACAACAGCAACAACAATGCAAACAATAACAGCAATGCAATTCCTAATATTTCAGAGCTTCATTTGGGAGGCGGATCTGGCGCCGGCGCCGGCGGCCGGAGTATGGTTCCGGCGACCGACATGTCGAGTTTACTCGGAGGTACAAATTATGGCAACCAAATAAGTTAATTTATGATTATAGCTCCTCTCGATCATGAATGATGAACAAGTAAAATATCTGATATTATTGTCTAGTTTTAATTCTTTGTATGATTGGTATCATGCATTGTATTGTATGTAACTTTTTTAGACCATTAGTCAATAATTAATCTCATCTAAGATTATATATATATGATATGGTTAAATGAATGGCTCTTCTTTCTTCTTCTTTCTCTCGAGAAGACTTGGACTTGACTAGTGGTACTGTTTATGAAGTGATTGGTCCTTTAATGATGCCTCCTCCTCTTCCTCTTCCTTCTGCTGCTGCTCCTAGGCAACTATGCTTTTCTCTTACGGGTCTCTTCTCTTTCACTCTCTAATATTAGGAAGAGCAAGGGTTCACCAAATTTCTACTGCTGGGGATATCATATCACACCCCATTCTTGACCACATGGACTATACTTTCATGTGAGTGCGCTGTTGATTGAACAAAAGTTAGGTCTTTGACCTTATAGACTATAGTTTTTAAAAGTTTAGG